TATTCAGGGGCCATAGAAAGTGTATTGACTCAGTGTATCTCAGTGTGGTATGGGAACAGCTCCAGTCAAGACTGCAAAGCCCTGCAGAGAGTTGTGCGCTTAGCTGAGCGCATCTCAGGGTCTGCTCTCCCCTCTCTACAGGACATCTACCTCAAACGCTGCAAAAGCAGAGCTGCTAAAATCATCAAGGACTCCAACCACCCTGGTAACTGTCTTTTCATTTTGCTGCCATCTGGTAAGCGCTTCCGTAGCCTGATGGCAAAAACCGAGAGACTTAGGAGGAGCTTCTTCCCCCAGGCCATCAGGCTCCTAAACTCAAACTCAGTCTCTTAACACCAACATGACTTCACTTAATTATCAGTAAGACACTTAATATACTGACATTGTCACTTGCACACAGCAATTTCTGTAATATTTTATTTATTTACTTTTTTACCTCTATTGCTGCTATGTAACTACCCTGTACAACCTGTTTGCACGTTTTCTCTTGTACATTCCTGCTCATCTTAATATTTATTAAGTCTACAGTATACTGTCCTGCGCATTTTATTTTATTCTTATTTTTTTATCTTACTTTTTCCATACCTATATTTATATATTATTTTCTTGTGTTTGTATTCTTTAATAATTGCACTGTCCATGGAGCGGACCTGACTTACATTTCACTGCTGGTCATATATTCTCTATATAACCATGTATGTGACAAATAAAAAATCTTGAATCTTGAATCTTGAATGAAAATGTAAATGCATTCTTTGCCACTAGGTGCCGCTTTAGGAGCAGTAAAAATAACGGTTTCCCCGGTAACGGCTGTACACAAAGCAGCACTGCTCTCACAAACAGCTGCTTTATCAGGCGTTACAGGCATGATAAAGTGGAAATGAGACCAATCACCGCAGATTAGCGTCACGCAAAGGAGGAGTTTGGAAAAATGAATCATTGAGCGAATCTTTTGGGAGTCGTTGACCAAGTAAGGTAAAAATAAATGCATATTATAAGACAATGAAAGTGTTTTTTGACCTTGCATGCATGTCAACCTGTTATAGGGGACTCCCAAAACCAAAATATGAACCTTTCATTACCCATAATAGGGGCACTTTAATTCTGTATTCATGCTGAACTTAGCTGCAGCTTCAAGGTTAAGGCAATATGAGAGAGAGATGGTCTCCTACACGGCCTGGTGTACGACCCGAGACTTCTCCAGCAGGTAATCTGAGATCTGAGCTCCCACCACGGTCCCTCCACAGGTGAACTTCATCTCCAGATACTTCCCAAAACGACTGGAGTTATCATTGATCACAGTACAGGCATTTCCAAAGGCCTCCACCAGACTATTGACCAGCAAAATCTTCTCTTGGAGGGTCCGATTGTTTGCCTGAAGAAACAAAAAGATAGAAAAAAGATTTCAGTTGGAATTATTTTATTATTGTGAGAAGAATAAAGCATTAAGTGATATGAGAGACATTCTATGACAAAAACATGTCATAACGCAACAGTGAGAACATAAAAGCCGCTTTCCGAACCTTTCCAAGGACGGTCAGCTGTTGGACTAATAAGTGGGCACTTTCTGTTTTCCCAGCACCGCTCTCTCCGCTAATGACAATGCACTGCACACAGAAACAAACAGTTCAGAACATGACTGATGATACACTAAGAACAAAAAAAAAAGGTAACCTAAAATTGGTAACATCTAAATATTAAAATATTAGGTCACACTTTATTTTAAGGTCCAATTCTCGCTATTAACTATGACTTTTGCCTCAATAAACTCCTAATTTGCTGCTTATTAATAGTAAGGTAGTTGTTAAGTTTAGGTATGGGGTAGGATTAGGGAAGTAGAATATGGTCATGCAGGATATGTGCTTTATAAGTACTAATAAACAGCCAATATGTTATTAATAGGCATGCTAATAAGCAACTACAGTAGTTAATAGTGAGAATCTGTCCCTATACTAAAGTGTTACCAAATATTATTTGCTATCATTGACTCAACCTAATACAATACTTGAAAACTACTTCATATGGGTTAAATCAGGTAGAGATATGTCTTTAAAGTAACAATTGCAGGTTACGAACATACTCTAGGACCACAATGGAACATACTCTACCTGATCAGCATTATAGGACACCATGGACTGATATGCGATGTCTGCAACTGCATATATATGAGGAGGGTTGGACGTTCTTTTGGCTCCAATATAAACCTTAGAATTCTGTCAGAGAATCACAAAATATTAGACAACTGTAAACTGTAAATTAGATTTCCTGAAACAAAAGTGTAACGTGTAATTAAGTGTTCGAAAACTTTTAGCTTGCACTTAAGTATATTCTTAAAGTATATTATTTCCATAATAAGCACTCTTTTTTTTTTTTTAAGTACACTAAAGTGGCACTTCTTTTTCACAAGAAAATCTAGAGAGAGGAGAACATGTGAATGAAAGAAAAGGGGAAATTAAATAAACACTCTTTATGCAAGAGGCACAATATCACAAAACAGATACAGATTGACAGGTGAGGAAGAAAGCGAACGAGAGATGTGGCAGTAAATGGAATGTAGTAGACTATGAAATGCTTAGGGCATTCATAATGAAATATCTCACACCTCCGGCATGTACAGCTCCGTTTTGTGGAATGGATTAACCGCTATGAGGATGTCTCCAACGTAGGTATAGATCTGCTCCTTTGCGTAACGTCTCTGTAGCTGTTCAGTGATTGTGTTCTAACAGAGAAACAATTAAACATCACAGATGGCCGTCCCATCAAACCACTGCACACCGATACACAACAATATAACCATCTAATACCACATTTTCATGCATGACCAAACCTAGACACGGAGAGAGGATTCATTATCTAGACTACTGCATTAATGGCTCTTTACATTGTGATTATTGCACACTATTTACATTTTGCTGCCATATGTGGCCAATATGGCCATACAAGACAGTTACACACATCACAGGTCTCCATCTGGTGATATCAGTCCAAGGACACAGGCATAATACAAGTGCTTCCTGTCAGCACTGCTACTATAATGGATGAGAAAATATATCTAGTGTCAATGAGAGCCCTCTGCACTGATAAATCACCTTAAATGTGTTTCTATACAAACTCTGTTATTGTTCACTAATCTGTCTATTTATTCACTTGACAGTTAAAATATGAGACTGCTTGGATGAGTTATGGTCACTTGACAGTCTCTTTGAAAAACGCTGCTGGAAAATGTAAGTACAAAAATTCCAGCTGGAATGAATGGGCTGTCTGGCGGAAGGATGGACAATTTCCTGAAGTCTTTCCTGAGTCTTTGTACTGGTGATCAAAACCTGTGTGTGTGTGTGTGTGTGCTTTGGCCTTTCTCTCGTGGGGCCTGTATTCATTCTTACTTCATCTAGAACCTCTAGGGTTGACAGATCATCCACATCATCACAGGTTTGACTTTGAGACTTCATGTAGCTGCCTTTTTTGGTGTGGATCCGCTCATGCCTGCAACCATAAAAGTTAAAATCACAGAAATTACTCACACAAATGACCTTGTTGAAATTATTGATAAAGGCATTAAAGGTAATGATGAAATAAAAATCAATAGTTATATAAGAAAATTGCAAAGTCATTTGAAGATGCCCATATCTAATTTCAAAATCTTTATTTCAAGGTTATTTTATTCTATAGCTTTATTATTTTTTCAAAAGCTATGCAGTAAAATTATCACAATAAATTGAGTTAGCATCTTATCAAACTAACAATAGGTGCTGTAACAGGCATGCAACATACATTACTGTTCAAAAGTTTGGGGTTAGTAAGATTTTTTCCCACCTAAAATAAATTAACAATTATATATTTAAAAAAAAAATGATGAAAATTAAAAAGCATCACTCTTAGTTTCTATTAAAATATTAAACAGCACAGCTGTTTTAATCATTGATACAAATATGAACTTTTTCTTAAGCAGCAAATCAGCTGACTGCTGACTAACCAACTTTTTTAATACTAAAAAGTATTATGAAAATAGTTCAAACTAGTTTTGCCCATAAATAATATAGCCGCACTATACTGAATAGTTGTTCTATGAATTTTTAAGCTTGTTAAGTATGTGTGTGATGCTATTAAACAAATGCTAGCATGCACCTATGAACTAGTGTGACTGTAACACAGCAAATATGTTAAATAAAAGCAGCAATTCAACTACAATGCAGTAAAAATGTGGACAGCAAGGAAGGGGTTACACTTTAAAACATCAAGAGTGCAAAACAGACATCCACTCACAGATCCACTCACACTCTCTCACACACACACTTACACACACACGCACACACACACACACACAGGTTTGTTTTTGTGAAAAGTGGGGACATCCCATAGGCGTAATGGTTTTTATACTGTACAGACTGTATATTCTATTGCCCTACACCAACCCTACACCTAAACCTATCACTTACTGGAAACTTTGTGCTATTTCAGATTTTCAATACACTCCATTCTGTGTGATTTATAAGCATTTTGAAATTTACAAAAAGTTGTCTTTGAGAATGTCTAAATATATATCTAAACTCACAACTTTATAAAAATAAGTATTTATGTCTAAAAACAATTAGAGAATTTATAGGCCTTATACAGTATATAGAGCTATACAGGAATCTATGGGCTAAACCATGGAATTGCAGATGTTTTTCTCATTTTACTCCCACCAGATGGCACTAATCTGGCTTCAAAAATTGGATTTTAAAGGCAATACTGCATTAATTGAAAAGTAATATAAAAATACATTATTTTTTATTATTATTATTTTCAATGGTAAAAAATTTATCATAATTAGTGCATAAATATTCATTAGCATCATGAAATTATCTCAAAATACAAAAGGGGGGAAAAAAGTTTAATTTTAAGTGTCCGGTCACTTTTGACCGTGAAGATCACAAGTGTGACTCCCAAATGAGGAGCACCAGAGGGTT